GTAACTGGACACAAGTCTCACTTCCCCCTTCTTCCCAACCCTTATGCCTTCCTGACCATCTCAGCAAAACTGAAGTGAAGAAGGTCTTCTGCAGAATGGTAACAACTGATTCTTTTAAACAACAGGCTCAATGCCATGCAGATAATTCTAAGGTCTTCTATAGTCAAACTTATATAGCCCAAACTTGACTTGTATTTTTGCAGTTAAATGAGAACACATTAAACCTCTGAATAAGCAGTTAAAGTGTTTGCATTCTGCCTTGACTGCTCCCCATTTCTCACACAGAGGCATTGTGTTTGTTTCCTGTCCCTCAGCCCATGCTGCTGTCCACAGAAGCTGTTTTTCCTTTATTTTTTCCCTTCATTGCCATCCCCCTGAAAATCTCAAATTTGAGGCTGAAGGAGACTGAGAGCCAATTGCTGCTCTCAAGGTTAAATCTCGTAATCATTTCCCTGGCTTCAAATTTATGCTGGTGCAATGAAGATGAGAATTTAGCTTTCTGTACTGTTGTCAACAGGGGAAAAATAGAGTCCCCTATAAGGCTGTATCCATGGAAACCATCCTGCTGCAGTAACGAGTAAAGCAGCAAATCAATTTCTTCAGTTTTAAAATGAAACACATTATAGTGCATCTGCCACTTGAGGGATTATCTGTGCTGATAACTGTGTGGAAAACCCCTTCTCTAGAAAGTAAGCTGGCAAGACCATTTCTTCCTCCTGATAGAATTCTGATTTTGGGTAGAGTGAGCATTGATGACAAAGTACCATGGAGACAGTACAGCGAGACAGAGCCAAGTCCACAAGCAACAGTGTTTAATGAAGGAGAAAATCGTTTAATTTAGCATTTAACCCAAGTATCTGGGCACATGGTGACTAACACTCAAATGTATTAGCAGAGGCAGTGACCTGTCACCTCTGTCTCCCTGCTCTTTGCTTGCACAGCACCACGTGTGACAGACAGTACATTTGTACCTGGTGGTGCATTTCTCTGACCAGCAGTGTGTGTGTGGATGTGACTCTGTGTGTGTGTGTGGCTGCTGGACTGTCAGATGAGTTCAATATCGAGTTCACTGCAACCTCATCTGGGCATCTGACTTTCTGCAGGTGTATGTTTCAGAGCCAGAGGCACTTCCAATGCAGAAAATGTGCTGTCTGTCTCTGCACTTTGTTGTTTATAAAATTTATCATGTGAGACTTGAGAGATGACCCCTTTGCTGTGCCATAGAGAGAGCATGGAAACACGAGGATTTCTTACACCAGACTTTGAATGTTACCATGCACTTTCCTCCTGTGTGCACGGGGATTCTGCCTTTATTTTTCACCTATTAAGGTATCTCTGGGCATTTTGAAAATTAATATTGTAGTTTATCAGACAATTGCCTATATGCAGATGAGGCTCCACTCTGCTTTTCCTTTTTATCAAATCCAAATATTGCAGTTTGCCTTCCCTATGCCTGACAGATTGAGAAATTATCTGTCTGGAAGAAATGCGACTTTATTTAAGAGAACGGGAATGAAGTTGAACCAGGAAGTAATAAAATTGAACGAGCAGGGAATAAAGAGCATTACAGGAATTGCCTAAACTGTGGGTAGCCCTTCGGTTGGTAAGTATCACATACACATTATTCTGTCACCTTGCAGTGCCTGGGCTGTATTTCATCTGCTTCTGAATCTCAGTTCCTTGATAACAGCAATCACACATGCAATACTGTCTCCTTTCATCTACAGCTGCCCTATCTATTATAGCAATCCCTCTTTGATTGACAGTTATGTATTTTTTGCTGACCTGAGGGCAAGCATATTGCAATGCACTCCTTTCAGGGCTATCACTGAAACACGTCCAAAGTCTTCAACTGGAGCATAATGTGGCAGTTCGGCATTTCAATGAAGTGAGCACGTATTATTGGGGGCACACATGGGTTTTATTGCTTTGCCACATCTAACAGTTAATGGAAGATGCAGTTCAAACCCCATTACGTTGTAGAAATAGCTCAGTGGTCTGAAATGGTGTTGTTTGCAGAGAGTGTTTTGTTCTAGCTGTGTCCAGTTGCTATGATATGCGGTGTTGTCTGTTTGGTTAGTTCCAGAGACTTTAGAGCTGGGAAAGATATCCCAATGCACTGCTTGAGGACTGTTTCCTTGTTGAAGATGAAGTTTCTGCTGAAAAACATCTGATCAAAAAGCACAGACTTCTGCAGCTTGTTTTCTATGATCCATGAATGTATAGATCTAAAAATCCTCTCTGTATTCAGGAGTTGGACTGCATTCACTAAATCCTAGCCTTTAGGTGCTGAAGAATGAAAATTATACCTTTCATTGCACTTTCTGCTGGTAATTCCCACCTTCTACATAAGCCTTCTATATTCCCACGTAAGGATGCCATTTGCCCCTGGGATTCCTTTACTGCCAGGGTTCAAATTCCTGGTGAGCTCAGACATAAGACATTTGCAGCTTTCTATCTAAAATGCCAGGGAAGGGAGAGATGGAGGAGAAGCTGTGACTGGCATTTCTTGTACCACTCTTAATCACAGGGTAGCGAAGCCCCAGAGACCAGGCATGGCTCAGGGGAACCCTGCACACCAGTTGGAGCAGAGAGGATGGGCTCATCTGTTACTGTGGGCACTGGGACATGTGAAGATGGACTGGTGAAACCTGGAGATTTTAATGGCTTTTGATATGAGCTTTTCCTGTGCCCCGTGACAAACGGCAAGAAAGTTGACCTTCTTCTTCCCACCTCCTTCAGGTCAGATCTGGGAGTCCATGGCAGGAGCAGGGGCTGCATTTGTTCTGAGGAACAAAGCAGGAGCCACCTCTGTATCCGTCACTTCTCTCACAGCTGCCGAGCGAGGCATTTTAAAGCATTCTTTACGTACAAGCTCTTGGGGTTTGCACAGTCATGTCCAGCGTAGGAGTGTTTCTCGATGATGTCTGTCTCCATGGATTCAGGGGTGACACCATGTTGTGTATTGCCTCTCTTACACTGCCACCCCCGTGATCAAGGCAAAGATCCTGAGTCATCTTCACAAAGATTTAAAGTTTCCGGCAAACCCGTGGGCCATCTGGGAATGTGGGCAGGCAAGAGATACTGCGTAGGAAAACTCAGTCACATGGCGGTGTTTATATCTGTCACTAGAGCCAGTTCTTTTAACCATGTTAAAAGCCATTTTAATTATTGTCTAATTTTTTTTCTGTAAGAAATTGTAACAAACATCAAGGCTGCAGTAAAATGATTCCTTGAAATGAGCCCAGTCCTTAAAGTCACCTTACAAAAAGGCAAATTCCATCTCTATTCTGAAGTGCCATTCCTTTTACTGTTAGATAAACCTCTATCAAAAACCAACAGTTCCCTTTTGGAAAAAACTTGAATTGCCTTCTCTCTGAGACTCAGGTGATGCTGCATCTGTGACCTGTGTCACATCCCTGCCCTGGCAGGTATTGTCAGTGCTGGCACGTGGTGTCACACAGCAGCTGCCACTTAATACAATGCAAAGAAAGTGCCCCCAGCCCAGGAATGTCTGCTCGTGTTATGTCTTGTTCAGTGTAAAGATACAGTCTGTTACCACTCCTGACAGTCACACAGCTCTGACTCCCTTCTCTGTTTCTACCAGAAAGCAGCTCCTCAAAATTAGAATCCCTTTGCATTCCTAGCCTGCGAAGGCAGGGATATTCTTAGCAGTACCCTGTGGATTAATATTCCCAACAACTTAAAAATATCAGGCCATGCATATGTTGATCTATTCTTCTAACCTAAAAAAGCTGTGCCTAGCCCTGGTTTCTTACATATACTAGCTGTTAGCACAAACCTTGCCATGCCTGTTACTCAGTTTTTAATTTCAGAAATATCTAAAAGAGGCGAGTAGTTCTAACGATAGTGATGTGTTCTTGAATGACAAGTTCTGCTAAAAAATCCGGTGACATAAGTAGGTGACTTGCTAGTCAGCAGAAACTTCACAAATGCAGCATTGCTTGCAACAAAAATGGAAAAAAAACTAGAATCACTTCTTTCAGGAGAGGAAGACCTAATTCACTGATGAACAGATTATAACTGAATGATGTGTTAATAAAGGGTATGGAAAACTGACAGTCTGTGGCCCTTAACTTCATGCAGACCCTAAAAAATGTTGCTCCCTGCAATGGGAGACTTGTTAGTGGGCAAGGTCACTTCCACAATGATATAAATAGCCAAGTGGGTGGCTGAACCTCCACGGACTTGAAAATGTAAGGATGTTCTTGCCTCATGCAGAGAGAAACACTGTCCTTTTTAGTTTGTGCTGCTTAGGAAGCCTTTAGAGATGACCAGAAGCAGACACACTACTGTGAGCAACAAGAGCCAGAGAAGTGTTATGTTCCCTGTGTCCCTCTGTTCAATAATGAGCTGTTCCTTAATTCTCTATCCTGGTCTTTGCTGCAGCCTCCTCCCCTCTTCCACCACCTCCAGAGAGATCTTCTCAGAGTGCCAGGGCTGGGCAGAGTCCAGCCAATCTGTCAGATTGGGCAGGGCACACGATAGAGGATTTCCACAAGTTTTGTACTTCTACAAGAATTCCTCTCAGCAGCTGGAGGACAGAGGAGTTCTCTACTGGCACAGAGTTAGAACAGTGTGTACAGAGGGTACCTGCTCTGGCCCAAAGCCTCACGTGACAGCCAAACCTGAACTGGCACAATGGCTGAGTGCTTCATCTGCTGTTTCTTACTCTATGCCAGAGGACAAATTCTGGATCTCCCTATGCTGTGGAAGTGTGGTTCAAGGATTTTCAAATGCTTGAGTGCAGCACAGCCCCTATAATCCTTCTCTTGAGAAGCCTGTCAAGCCTTGCATGTGGAGCATGCCTTGGCTTCAGCTCTTCCTGAAGATTGCAAGATCCCTGGCTTTCTTGTGTGACCCTTGCGTAGCTGAGAGACCTCGAATACGTCAGACAGCTGCTGTAAGTGTCTCTCAGTGGAAAGGGAACAGATGTTACTCATTTCACATTTAATATGGCACTTCCTGGGAGCACTCACCTTCTCCATGCAGGTGTGTTACTGATGGCTCCTTGCTGTCACTGCTGCATCCGGGGCCGCTGCCTCTAGGAGAGGGGACAGAACGCTTCTTCCAGCCAGGCCCTGGCAGGGGGTCTCTGTGTAAGCCCAGGGCCCTGAGCTGCACTGCTTGGCCTCCTGGAGCTGCAGCGAGTCAGCTACAGAGACAGCAGTGCTGCCTGAGAACGTGGCAGGTATGTCTGAGCAGACAGAGCTAAAGAGAGGTAAAAACGTTGGTCTGCTAAGAGATGTCGCAGGGGCAGAGTCACTTGGGCTGAGACTGAAGTCCTTTAAATAGGAGAGTGCTTGATTATCTAGCTGGGCATATTCAAAATTTATCTTGCTTCCAGTGACCTCATCGAGGATTTTTGCTTTACTTTTCTGATCTTCAGAGCAAATTTGCTCCCCATTTTGCTTCAAATACAGACTGCTGGATTGTAAACTGGTCTCGTAGTTATATTGGTTTGTGCTAGGAATACTGGTGTATTCTGGATTTTGAGCACTGCAGCTGCATTCATTTTGCAACAATAACTTGTTTTTGTACCGAGACATCTTATGAATGATACTGTTCATTTCATTCCCGATGTATTTGTCCTCCAGCTGCTTGTTTTCATAGCTGATTTTTAATGATGCCACCTGTGTTACACAGTGCTCTAAGAGCTGCACTATGTTAGTGCTGCTCTCTGTTGGTGTGGGGCTAATGTAGCTCTGGAAGTGTCTGAGGGTGAGAGGCTGCGGTGGTTTGTCACAGGAAATAGAGAGAGAGTGATACACTGGCTTGTTTCTGTCCTCCCTCTCAAGGGGATCTAGGAGTGAGGTTGCAGCAGTCTTGTAGGAGTAACATGATTCTACTTCGTGATTATCATCTAATGAAGGATTTTCAGAGCTCTGGGAGCCATTCTCTCTGTTCAGCTTTTCTGGCAGTGGGTTTTTAGCTCCAGATGTCTCACATCCCAATGAAATTGCCACCTTCTCGTTGTCAGTTGAAGATGTCTGCAGGTTGCCTCCGTTAGCCTGTGATTGTGGTGCATAACTTGATGATCTGGTGGTTTCCACAGTCCCAGGCACTGTAGAAAAATCCTTGTGGTGACTCCCTTCTCTTCCTTGGAAATCCAGGTTAGATGTGTTTGGGCAGGAGTCCAGGCTGTGGCCTCTTTCAGCAGTGTTTACTGAAGAGGCCTGGGCTGTGTATTTGCTTTCATCCAAAGACACACATACATTAAATGCATTAGAATCTTCCTTGCTTGGTTTCTCCTGCTGAGCTTCTGTGCTCAGTTCCTGCTCTGGACTGGGACTGGGCAGGACTGATGAATCATTGGACTTTTCTGGCTGTGATTGAGGACTCTGAAGAGAGTCAGGGGAGGACATGAGTCCTGAGTGTTTTCGCAGCCAGTTTATAATCCCCATAGTCAGTGAGAGCTCAGTATCACAGAGCTTTAGCAAGCATTCTTTGCCTTTCCACGAGCTGTGGAAAAACCCCTGGCTGATAATGTCTAGAGTTGGTTGGGAAGCCATGTTCTCCTCAGCTCCAACGTGAAAGCTGTAAATGGACAGAGGGATCTCAATGGCTTGCTCTGAAACAGTTTCTGATGTGCACAAGTCATCATCAAGGACTGGGTTTGTTTTGACTTCATTTGGGTCATAGAATAGCTCATAAAGGGCATCTCCACTGTAGCTGTCTCTTGGAAATCTACCTGGGACACCAGGGGTCTGAGCTTCCTTCAGTTCATCATCTTGTCCAGGAGAGAAGGAATCATAGTAGCCTTCATCGCTTGTGGATGTGGATTCCTGGTTTTCACTTTTCGGTGTTTCTGTTTCTGTGGAGCTGTCTTTGGAATTGTCTCCTTCTTTATCAGGTGACACCTGGGGGCTTGTCACCAGTATGGCAGCCTGACTTTTAATCTTTTCTGTGTCAGAACCAGGTATCTTCAGCAGCTTCTTTTCAAACAGAGCACTCTGATGTAGCCGTACTGATTTGTTGATGTTGTCCCAAAACTTTGCAAATTCCACAGTCTCATTCTGGCCAGGAGAGGCCAGCTGCTCCACCCCCCCTTGGAAAGAGCCCATGACAGGGCTGTCTTTGTGCTTGCTTCGCCTCAGCAGAAGGTCTTTGCTGTTCTCCAGCTCCAGGTGAGCAGAGCTCTCATCAGCAAAGATTTCCCCACAGCCGGTGAGGGAGTCAAAGCTCTTCAGGGAGGCAACATCTTCACACAGGGCATTGCAGCAGTCATAGGAGGAGTCAGACTGCAGTTCACTGTCTGAGCAGTCCTGTGACAAACAATCAGCTGCAAATGTTTCTCCAGTTTTGAAAAGATACTTTGCAAGACGCCCAGGCAACTCACTCTTGCAACCTGGCGAGGACAGGTTCTTGTCCTTCTCAACCAGAAATGTGAGGCTGTCTGGCTTATTTTTTCTTATATGAAATATATCTCTGAGCCCTTTCTTAGATCTCTTGAGGGAAATCCTCTTCCTGGGAATGGTTTTTGCGACAGCTGGTACAAAAGGCATCTGTGGCACAAAGTTCCTATAATCAATCATCTGACTGCTGCAGGCAGACTGGCTGGGGCTGACCACACACTCCTTCTTACTGCTGGAGCTGGACATCCCTGAAAAGCTGATGCTGTTGACAAGTCTGCCCTTACCCTTTCCAGAAAACCCCTCCTCACACGCCCTGCTGCTGGGGCTGCAGTGCCCTGCTTTGTCTGCCTCAGCAACGCACTCGTGGGTTTTACTCTTCCTTACAAGTTTGTAGGAGGACCCAGATGATTTTTCCAGGCTGTGGTCACCAGCTCCATTCTTTGTTGCTCTGGTAGAAAATCTGTAGCTCTTGTGTGTGGCCAAACATGCCAGCTGGACTTCGGCCACACTTTGGTTTCCCTCTGCAGCTGCCTTTTTGTCTTTCCCCATCTCATCTTTGTTGGTAGGAGCTGTATGCCCTGGTGGCACTTTCTCATGTTGCACACTGGATTTTATGAAGGTCTTTCCTCTCTTGAGCTCCATGCTGCTTCCTCACATCTGTTTCTGGAAGGAAAACAGCAGAACACAACTACTGTGAGGTTGGTGGCTAGCACTTGTAAATTTGGAAAGCAACTGGAGAACAAAGGGAGGGATTTGAAGCATTATGGAATTGGGTTTGTCTGTCACTGGACATTTCCATCACTGAGTCCTGGTACTGCGTGACAAACAGATTGAGTGAAGCTGAAGGTGTGTTGGCTGGAAGATCCAGCGAGGAGAAGACAGTACACATTATGGACTGGTAGCTGAGGGTCAGAGAACAGTTTGTATGTTAGAAATAAGGGGGGTTGGATTGAGGATTATGACTTCAGTATGGCTTTTAACAAGATAGAGGTCCTGTTCTGAAAGTAGAAGAGGCATCAATGAAAAACAACTCCTGAGAAACTTTACCATGCAAATGTGTGCATCAGGGAGGCAGCAGCTCATAAATCTGTGTGTGTGAGGAGGACAGAGAGCTCAATGTGGGAAATCTCCTGAGAAAATGGATCAAACATTTGACACATGATACTCATTTTATAATAAAATAATCCTTACCTGTGAATAGAAAATCCATAAACCTTGGTACTACCCTGGAAATGAGCTGAAACTGAATTACTGGGTTTGCTTCGCTTCCTCCTGAACATAATGGAACATTTTCTGCACTACTACTTTTATTGTCAAAAGTCAAAAATGCCATACTGAAAAATCACTGTTAATTATGACAGAAGAGTCATCTCCGATTCACAAAGAACAGTGTAGCACACAGAGGCATTGGCACGTTCAATCTGCACTGTGCATTGATTAGCTATTTCTAAAAATACTCTAGTACCTGTATCAATGGCAGTTTCAGGCTCTGCCTATATGGTTTAGTTTTGAACCTGTTTTATGTTTTCATAAATCTTTTTAGTCATTCATTATTTTAGCCATGTTGCTTTCAGCTTTCCAGCAGTTATTTCATAGACACACCTGATCCTTTTCTGTCTTGTATCAACTTGAATATTGAGTAAGTCAGTGGAGTTACATAAAGGTAGGTCAGGGAAGAAGCAAACACTTTCTAAAAGCTGTTAGAAAGAACAGATTTTTACTGGATGGGAAGCAGGACAGTAATTCCAAGCCCTTTTCTTGAAAGAACATGCTTGGATCTTTCCTTAGTGAAATCTCAGTTAATGATTTATCTTGTTTTGAATTGTTTAGACATAACTAAACAATTGGAGACACTGAATGGGAGATTTTAAATTCAGCACCAAGCCAAGCCTTTGTACTCCTAAGTACAACTTAAAGTGGTCTTCAGTCTACCTGGAACTACAGCAGCTGTCTGTAGCCTCCAGAGGCTTTCCAGTCGCCAGGGCTTGCTGGGAATGTCCACACTCTGATCAGCACCTCATAAGATGCAGATCTGAGAATTGTCACCCACAGCTCTGCTCCAGCAGGCAGATCAGTGAGAGCCCATTGCTCACAGAAGCTGCAAACTAGCAGGTGATTAGCAATATTTACAACTAAATGTAGGTCAGTGATAAAAGGCAGAAAACGTAAGGGTAGAGTGTGAATATTTGACATGCTCTGGAAGACACGGTGGGGGGTGATAGATGGGTGTCTGTCAGTATGACTGACATGTTGGCACATTTATTTGTGCTTGGGGCTGCGTGTGAGTGTTGCAGAGCATTCTTAATGGAAGCCAGTAAACATTTTACTACACTGTCAGGTATTTGGAGTTCACTGATGCTGCGGGAAACTTGTTTTGCATATTTAGAAATAGGTCACTGGGACAGGATTACACTCCTCCTGAAAAGCAAGGTGTGATCGACAAGAGATTCAGTGTGTAGAACTCCAACAGAGTCGTGAAAACAATCAGAAACGGCTGATGCAAGACCAGTTATTAATATCCCAAAAATGAAGTGCCTGACATCTCAGTCCTTTGCAAGTATAGAAGTAGGTACTGTGTCCCTGTGGGAAGCTCCTGGTGCTGCTGAGAAGCTCCTTAGAGGTCTGTGACATGGCAAATGCCAGCCTTATAACAATGTTCTGTAGAACTCCTTCAAGTCCTGCAGCTGTTTCTGCCCATTCTGAGTATTAAGCAAGGGTCACTTTTGTAGGATATTGCATACTTAGGAACTTTATCTGTAGATGGATTAAAAAGGCTTTTAGAGGTGGATTTATTTATTGTCAACTATGACATTTAGTAAAGCTAAGAATTCAGGATATTATTAGATAATCTTTGTAATAAAGTAATGTTTGATCTGAATTGTATCTCCCTTATAAGAAACACAGTGGATAACCAGTCTGACAACTGGGTCTAGACACTTTAGGGCTTGTTCTTTTTTTTTTTATAATAGATTAGATGAATAGTTTTAACATGAAAGCCCAAATGGCCTGAATAACATCTGTACTGAGAATATATGTAGTATAATAATGTAAGATACACTGATGGTAGCCTGTGCTACCTTTTCAGTTTCCTCTGATGAGGGAAAAAGGCGTTAGATGTCATTTAGATTTTGTGGGATTTTTGTTTGGTTTGGGCTTTTTAATATGTACTATATATTTAGCCACCAACTTTGTATTCTGATTATTTCATGTCTCTATTTAATCCCATATATTCTTTTCCCTAATATTCCCACAGGATTCATGCCAGACTTAGTATCTAGTTCATTGTGTCATCCTGCTTATTCTGTTTTAAGACTGTCTCATCTTCGGGAATCTTCCACATTAAAAATGTTATTATGAATGAACACCAACAAAAGGAAGACCCCCTCAGTCAATTCTTTGAGGGCTCTTCAGGACAGACCACCAGAGTCTGCAGACTTTTTAAAACATTTGTAACTTCCCATACGATGAGTTCCTCTTCATCCTCATATGACATAAATTATCAATGAGCTTCTTCCCAAATACAGAACAAATGTTTATGTGATGTTACTCTCTTTCTATATCTTAGATATAGACATATATATCAATAATCTGTATTTTAGCCCTTTTTATTGTAATGGACTACACCATGATATCTATTTTTTGTCTTTGCAGGGACACAAGTTATATCTCTAACCCCAGAAGCTGTACCAGTGAAGTCACAAACAGATTAAAGTGCTGTAAGGGAAAGTTACCCTCCAGTACTTATATAAAGCTAATCAAAATTCCATGAAAAATTATTCTAGGCATCTAAAAAATGGTACATTTTCTCTGGGATTTCTTGACCCTTACACTCAGCTACACTATTGCCTGTGTGTTCCTTTTTAATTATTCTTCCCTTGGACTTAACTTGCAGTATATCTGTTCTTCCACGGGGATAAAAGACATATGAGGGACTGATTTCCACCTTTGTAAAGGAAATACAATTTGCAATTAAAATCACTGTGAAAAACAGAAACCTGTGGAAACCAGCAGTCAGTCTACTGAGACTATGTTATACTGTTTTGAACAGATTCTGGATGTTTTCTTTGGTAATGAAACTTGACCTCTTTTTTAGTGTCTGTGAAATTACTTGTCCAAAATACATGGGTTTAAATAGAGGACATTGTTGAATCTTGTACTGGGCTACAGTTTAGTTGTCATTTACAACAATGTTAGGTGCAGCAGCATTGAGACTTCCCATCCACAGTAAACAGTACTTTTATCTGGCTTGATCATACCAGCTTCTCACTTTTAGGATTTCACAGGTGTCTAAACCGGCAATTAGATCTTGATTTTGGGTTTATACTGTAATGGAAATAAGGTTTTGTTTTAAATTTGGATAATATTGCTCATAAAACACAGAGATACTTCATGTGCAAACATACACCATCTGCGCAGGGTGTGTGACAACCTTTGCATAAACTCTGAAGGTTTTACTGTATCTGTGATTCATCTGGAAGTAAATTACAGTTTTAGAATGGAAAGATGAACACATTCCTGTGGGCTGAGGAAACTTGGTTTTAGGACAGTCAAAGCAATTGCTTATGGTTCTGGGTTATGAGGACCTGAACAAGACTGAATTAGGTAACTGTTCTGGTTAATAAGAGCCGTATTCAGATGGCCTAAATTCTACCTAAGTCCAGGTCAACAAGCAAGGGCCAAAGAGGAGTGCAATGGAACCAGATATTCCTTAGGAAAATGGGTGGAAGCAGGATTCAAACTGTCCAAATATTGCCTCTTGCCATGTGGGTCAAAGAGAGGGGTCCCATTTGCCTCTGTCCATGGTCCCCACAGCTGTTTGCCAGGCTCAGCTGTTTACAAGTTTCCTTCTGTGCTGGAATGGGGGAAGCCTTGCTTTGGGTTTTGAGCTGGTGTCAAAATTGATATCTTATATCTTACTAGCTGGACAGTTTTGTTTAGGTTATCTTCTAAGAAAAGGTAGAATATCAGTCCTCTTGCATGTAGCACTAGGAAGATCATCCAACTGGGAAAGCAGAAGTATCTGCTTCAGTGTGATTGCAGGGATAGAAACAATAGTGTTTCAAAGAGGAAATTTAGATGAACTCTCTGGCTTCAGCAGGTTTGGCTCAAAAATAATTTTGCTTAAGTAGGAAAAAATATAATTAAGGTTCATTTATTCCAAAATCTTATCAAGTGTCTGGCTTGGATACTCTTGTTTGTTTGATGTGCAGTTTACATGCAACTGTCTCTATTGGAGATAGAAATAAGTAAAATTCAGAATGCAGTGTTTTTGCAGGGGAGATAGGAGTGCTCTTTCTTTACATTTAGATCAAGCAGGTGGTGTAGTTGGTGCCTTGCTGTCTCTTGTGAAGCAGAATTCTGCATCACTTAGCATCTGAATTTCACCTCCCTCCAAGCATGTTCCTTTCATTAAATGAAAGAGTTTATAAACTTTGAATACTCTTTTAGGCTTTTTAATTTAAAAAGAAGGAAAACCTCTCTTTGGATTGTTTTTATATTTCAGGATACAAGTTTGGAGTGAGTCCAAAATCCCTTTTCCACAAGTGGCTTCATATCAATCAGACTTAAGATGCTGAGTATCAGAGGTACCTTTGAAAATGTTACCCTGCTTTCCCCTCAGAAGCAGCAGCATAATTAAATTTCCTGAAAACATTTATCTTATTTGGGCATTTGGACACGAATTATGCTTAAAATGAATGCATTTTAAGATGAAAAGTTTTTTTTAAAATATTTCCTGAGAAATTGTGTGATGGGAAAGGCAAAAAGAATGGAGTACTCTGGGAGGCTCTCCCCTCCTATGCCCAGTTAACATTGGGAGGATTTTTGCTGTGCACCAGTTGGAAGTCCTAAAATGCAAAACCAATCAAGCTTGAGGTGGTGAAAGCCACAGCTACTTTCAAAGTCAGTGGACAATACTAATTTTTAATGCCTAGGATCTAATCAGCAATGCATAAAGAACAGCTGGTGCTCCCAGTAAAGTGTGTGGGGGGGATATTTTTTGAATAAGACTGTTTACTTACAGTCAAAAACATTAACTGTCTATCTCAGAAGATAAAAGTTAATAGTGGAAATACTTGCTAATAATAATGAACATATATTCCATTCTATTAATTTGATTTTTAATTGCAAAGCAGAAAAAATGCCTTCTTGCTCGAGGGTAGTGATACCCTCCCTGCAGTTATTGTAACACTGTTTTCTAGTAAGCAAATAAATGTAACTGTTCTTCTGGTAAAAACCAAAGAGGATTTTAAAGCAGGGCTCATCTTCTCCCTTAAACTGATTACTCTGCCACTATCTCATCTCCATTATAAAGCAAAAAGAAGAGGGTGGGAAGGATGGAGGATGTAATCAGGGGCAGTCATCAGTCAGGAAACAGCAGAATGTTTATTTTTAAAGGCGGCTGTGTGACACACAAACCTGCATTGAGATCATGCCTCTCCTCGGGAGGAGTACTCTCGTCATCCTTAGTGCCTGTATCTTATCATTCCCCTTAACCATTTGTCTCTCTTGGCTAATTCATGATGCCTAATTCCTTGCATATACATTTAGGTCAGGTAATGGCTTTCCATGAAGAACCAGCAAAAAGCACATTGGTGGGTCTTTTTCTTCAGTCGTAGTTCCAATGAGCACACAAAGTAAAATCTTACACTGCCCCAGCAGAATACTAGAAAGATGTGTCTTTAAATGCTTAATCTTATTAGCAATGTGCTATAGGGGAGTCTGAACCTTCCTTTAAGCCCTGACAACTGTTTTGTGGAGCTCAGGATTTTTCATAGTAAAATTAACTACGTTTCTACTCTCAGCACACTGTCCTGCTGTGTGCTGACAGGAGGGATCCCTGGGGGCACAGCAGCACCCACTGCTCCCCTCAGCCCCACGTGGGGCACGCACTGCTCCCCTCAGTCCTGCCCATATGGGGCACCCAGCTGCTCCCCCCAGCCCCATGGGGTGTACAGCATGACAGAAGGAGGCTGAGACCATGACAAAAGGAGGCTCCTTCTCTGACAAAACCTCTGCACCCCTCATTCAGTTTTCTTCTCTACCTGAGAGTGAAAGAAACGTAACTGCTTAAATTATGCCATGAAAAAGGGCAGCATCAACTCCTGCACAGGGAGCTGTCAAATCATCACTATTGCTGGGAGAAGGCAGCAGAGCAGAAATTTCCACTGGGTACCTGAGAAGGAAACAGGACATTTTTTCTTGCCCTGGCCAGCAGCCTGTTGGTACCAGACAGCAAAGTGTTAATGCTGACAGCTTTAGCTGTCCTCTATAATTTATTGCTTTAAAAGGACATAGGATGCGCATTCATATAAACACAGGCACGCACTTGTCAAACGTATAGAAAAAGAAGTAAAAAGCAATGCTTCAAAAACAAGCAGTCATCCCAAAATCACAGTCCCTCAGAGTGGCTGTGAGTGTCAGAGCAAAGAAAATGCCATTGCACCAGAGCTAATAATAAGAGAGATCACGAAATTCCTACTCACCATGTTTTATCACTGAACAGAAATCCTCTGTCTCCTTGCTTCTGAGGCTGGTCTTTATCCAGAGGCTCCTGTGATGCTTTTCAGATTCTGAGGGGCTGGACCACTGCTGCTCTCCAGTGTTACTCTCCACCCCCTGTCTTTTCCTCCTCCTTCTTCCTTCATCCCCACCCCCTCATTCCTCTTGCTTGTAGCTTTTTTGTACCTTATATAGATTCTAAGCTTCCACATGTAGCTTGATATAGGAAAGATGCTTATTTCAGCTGTCTGCTGGAATAAGGGAAATGCCTCCACTGCTTTAGGAATAAAAGCCCAGAAGGTAAGCTCTGGAGTCCTGAGCCAGCATTTTGGTTCCCCTCGGTATGACTGCTTATTAAACAGGGAGAAACACATCCAGATTAATTTCATTTCTCATGTGCTGTTTTGTTTCTGGATTCAGGAAAAGTGAACCTAATGTGTCTTAGTTTAGTGAGAAGCTTCACTTGCAGGGTGTGCAGATTATTGGACTGTGCCACCCTTTGTATGGTTTGTGTTAATGCTGAAGCTGGAGGGGATTTTGTGTGGGAGCAAAGTGGTGTAAAGGGAAAGAGTGAATATTTCTACTGCCCAAAGCTGGAGTGCCTGGTGTGAGCCTCATACTGCCTACCACAAACCCCATTTATCAAATTCTCCTTAAGGTCAGCCCAGCTTCCTCTTCAGTGTGCAGTGAAGGGAACATCTGATATTACAATCTGATATTACATCATTCTTTGTTATATCTTTGTATATATATCTCTTCTGTCCCCACATCACAGCAGAAAGAGACAAAAACCTTAACCTGCTACCTGTTCTCTTCCTTTTCACCGTGTGCTTGAACTGAACCTTGGAGACGGGGGAGGGAAGGAGCTTGAACTTTTGTGCTGTCTAAGCTTCTGAAGCTGAAAAATCAGTTTGTTAACTTAAAAGCAGGCAGAACAGGGTGCTCCTGCTCTGAGTGTCAGCCAGTAAGCCACTCAGGTGCCCCGATGGTAGAAACTGGAAAATTGCATATTGGACAAACACTCCTGGGTTCAGTCCAACCTGCAACAAGTAGAAAGCCCATGTGTGACTTCACCAAAAGACTGGTGGGAGGAAAGAACAAGCTGTGAGTGAATCCTACTAGCTCTGGCAAGTAGATTAAAAACAATCATGAGAGGAAATACATTAATTAGAAATAGATTTGATGTTTTTTGTTCTGCATGAGATATTTGTATTAATATAGGAGAAAGCCTTTCTTCATGGTGGGTTTGTGAAGGCACCAAGTTTTCAGGTAGTACATCCTTGCTCTGCAGGGATGGCGCTTTTGAGAGCCCCCACTTTGTGCACTCTGTTTTGGAATGAGGGAGCCTATAAAACATTGCAGTCCTTCTTTGTTCAAAATAAAATCAAGGCTTGTTAGAAATGGTGATGAACATGAGAGTCACTGTTGTCACCTGTGCCCCAGGTGGCCAAGAAAGCCAATGGCACCTGGCCTGTATCAGCAGTAGTGTGGCCAGCAGGACCAGGGCAGTGACTGTCCCCTTGTACTCAGCACTGGTGAGGCCACACCTCGAGTGCTGGGTTCAGTTTTGGGTCCCTCACTGCAGAAAAGACATTGAGGTGCTGGAGCAGGTCCAGAGAAGGACAGCTGAGATGGTGAAGGGTCTGGAGCACAAATCTGATGAAGAGCAGCTGAGGGAGCTGGGAGTGTTTAGTCTGGAGAAAAGGAAGCTCAGGGGATACCTTATCACTCTACAACTATCTGACAGAAGATTGTAGTGGGGTGGGAGGGTTGGGCTGTTCTCCCAAGGAACAAGTGACAGTATTGGAAATGGCCTCAAGTTGTGCCAGGGGAGGTTTAAATTAAATATTAGGAAAAATTTCTTCACCAAATAACATTCTTCACCAAAAGCAGCTTCTGTGATGAGAGAACTTGAGGTTTTAGGATGTTTACCTCAGGATGCTTGTATGGACAGGCAACTCCATCTTTAGAGCCTGTTATTTTGCTTCATCAGGGAAGTGGCCTAAATCCATTGGCCATCTATAGCCATAGATATCTATAGTTATGCTTGGCCATATCAATCCGTAGCCATAGCCTACATTGACCTAAATACCAGTCTCGTTGCATGCAATGGCAAATGCACAGTATGTTGAACAGCAGCTGACCCATGGTAGCCTTTATGCATTACAATACAGCGTGTTTTTCCTAAACAGTTCTCAACTTGTCATTCCCTGAACCATCTTTCTCTGCTATCACTTTGTTTCAGGCTATTTCACTGTGGCTGATGATCAGCTTGGCTCAAAATGTTGGCCATTGGAGAACCTAATCATCCTCTCTGATTAATTCTGATTAATTCAGTCTGTCCAGAATTGTTTTGGGCATCAGTGGGCATAAAAGGGAAGGGAAATCAAACCCTGTAAATGAGGGGCACATGGCACAGCTGCCATCTGTTTAGCAGATGCACACAGCCCTTGGCATGGGGAGTAAGAAGAGGGCCCTTGAGGGAAGCAGGACTAAGGAATGTACAGTCCCTGGAGAGGGAAGAGTAGGACAGCAGAGATCTTTGGTATGAGGAGGACCGGGGAAAGGAGGAGGAAAATCCACATAAAGGGCAGCGTGGAAACACAGGGAGGGAGATTTTAGATGCAGCAGCCCAGCCTCCCAGACCCTGGAAGCCTGTGCCTCCCCATGGCAGAAAATGTTTGCATGCAGTGATGCAACAAACAACTATTAGCATGAGCAACTCACAAAAAAACCCAAGCTGTTCTATTTTTTAATTTTCTGCCATGGAAGAATGTAGCAGATTCTTTACCCTGAAACTCAGAAGAAAGAGCTGAGATAACTCTATTTGTTTCCAAGGAATTGCTTACAGAATGAATTTGACCCAAGCTGTTTCCTGTCAGTGAACTAATGAAGAGTCTAACATCCCCAGTCCAGCTTAGCTTTCTGCTAACATCAGGTTAAACTTAATTATTCATGGATTCTTATCACTGTTTCTTGGGTTTGCATGTCGAAGAGAACTGGTAATGGATATGGAGCTTTTTCTCCAGACTGCTTCCGGAAGACTGCCCTGGGTTGAAGGGAGCAATCTTTGCGACTTATCTGACAGCTTCCCAGGGCTTTCATTAAGTTAATTGCTACTCTCTTCTCAGTTGCTTGGTGAGCTAGTTTATGCTGCAAATTTTAGGATTGTGAGTTGCTGTTAATAACATCAGTACTTAGGATGGAAATAGGAGGATTTTTATCCGCGGATTTCTGCGAGTGTATTTCCCTCACTGTCTCCCGCTTGTTTCCCTGTGGGGCGTTGATGTTAAGGTTTGCTGCCAAGGAGATGAGGTGGAGCAGGTAGGGTCACAAAAGTAAAATGTGGTATTAAAAAGCTTGGCTGTCCTGCCTTCCAGCCAGGCCTCCCCACCCCAATAGTGATGCCCTCAGGGACAGAGAGGAGCACGGAGTGCCTCAGGAATGGGACTGATCACATTTTCAGTATTGCTGTTCCAGGGACTATGGATGGCTGATTGTGAACTGCTTGTTGCCTCAAAGAATTAAAAGGGCTTTTGAGAAAAAAAATTAAGTGGTGAGGACATTTTTCCAGCTGCCTTAGTTGGAGTAGTGGCTGCCCTTAAACTTTCTATTTTAAACAAAAAGCTCTTGGATAATAAATACCTGTCTAAAAATCAATGTGGAAAAATGTGCTGCATTAAATGCTATGAAGAACTACATCAAAAGAACTGTTTCATGACATTATGAAGAACTCCCAGGCTCTGGAAACCAGACACAACACCTGGGAAGGACACAAAACCTCGGGGACCTGACTACAGAAATGTTTAAATACAGGTCACGTTTTCAGAAGTTTTTCCATTCCAGATATGCCTGTGTGTCATAGACATCTGTCCAGATGAGGCAAGAATACCTCTGCTGCTGCCATCTCAAAGGCAAAGTAATTATTCAGCATAAAGTGTGGGGATGGCAAAATGTGCTATTCCACAGGCATCCCAGTGCAACCTATAAGCAAAGTTTCCTCAGCTTCTTCTGAGGAAGTTGCTATTGTGATGACTTGAGGGCAGACTATAGGAAATTTTTTATGACTGTTTTGTGTGACTTGATTTCCCTGCTTAATTTTATATTGCTCCCTGCCCGAATACATACAATTAAGTGCTCTGAAGGCTTTGTTAAAGGCTCAGTGAGGAAACTGAAAAAAAAGATATATAGGTGTAAGTAGCCATAGATACACAGCTTCACATAATAGATACAGGCCATCAGTGAGGCAGAAACTGTTTCAGTGGCTCTCATGGCACAGCTGGGATCAAAGGAGGACTAAAACCAAAAAGACTTAGATAGGAGCTAAGTGAGTAGTCAGTTGAGTTGGTGAGGGTGAGCACACTAGCACAGCAGGCTCAGGTCTAAACATAGGGACAGGGGCATATCGAGCTGAGAGCAGGACAGGCTGGTGCTGCCACTGCCGCCTGTCACTGCTTGTGTGCTTTTATTTCAGATCTCAGTGGAAAACACAAATGGTGTGTTGCACAGAAGCTGGCTTGCAGAAGATATACCTGTTGCAGTATCTTGCAAAGGAGTCCTCATGGGTGGTATGGAGGCTACAGACAAATCATAAATCCTGTTCTGAGGGAAGAAACCTCTTGGTTGAGGGTAGTTGGTCAGTCCTCGAGGAAAAAGAGCACTACAGCCAGTTTGTAACTGCAACAAGTAGCACCTTGCTGTACATAAAATCCCACTGGTCTGCCAGTCAGTATCTAAACACAGGCAAACAAAAGGACATTTGGAAGACAGGTGAGAAATTAAGCCTTTGAAACCACCAGCAGTGCAGTTGGTAACAATGTGGTTAAAAATGGTTCTGCCTGATTTACTCAGCGCAACATGCATTTTGGAAATAAATCTGTGTGTTTGATTTGTGTTCTTAGTGGCAATGTCACAGCCAGATTTCGTTATGAGGTGGCAAGCCGTAAATCTCAGAGAAGACTAAAACACACGGTTCTAAATGCAGTTTGTTACCAGACCTAGAGATTGTGTTTGGCCATGTTTGTTGCTCTTGTTCTCCTGCCTCCCACGTGCTCAGGTGGCAGTGGCCAACTCCAGAAGCTTCGTGTCT